TTTCAGTAGAGATGGGGTTTCTCCATGTTGGTCAGGCTAGTCTCGAACTCCCAACCTCAGGTGATCCACCTGCCTCAGACTCCCAAAGTGCTGGGATTACAGGCATGAGCTACTGTGCCTGGCCTGCATGTCTTCTTTGAAGTAATGTCTATTCAAATCTTTTGCCCATTTTTAAAATTGGATTATTAGAATTTTTTCCTATAGAGTTCAGTTCCTTATATATTCTGGTTATTAATCCTTTGTCAAATGGGTAGTTTGCAAATATTTTCTCCTATTCTGTGGGTTATCTCTTCACTTTATTGTTTCCTTTGCTGTGCAGAAGCTTTTTAACTTCATGTGATCCCATCTGTCCATTTTTGCTTTGGTTGCCTGTGGTTATGGGATATTACTCAAGAAGTTTTTGCCCAGACCAATGTCCTAGAGTTTCCCCAAAGTTTTCTTGCACTAATTTCATAGTTTGAGGTCTCAGATTTAATACATTTAATACATTTTTATTTGATTTTTGTATATGGCAAGAGATGGAGGCCTAGTTTCATTCTTCTGCATGTAGATATCCAGTTTTCTAAGCACTATCTATTGAAGTGATTGTCTTTTCCCCAGCGTATGTTCTTGGCAACTTTGTGGAAAATGAGTTCACTGCAGGTGTGTGGATAGATTGATACATAAGTAGTTTTATGGGGTTTTGTTTTTTGAATAACTAGTGAAAGAAATCAAAGATCTAAATAAAGACATACCATCCCATGGGTTGGAAGTCTCAACATAATAAACATATCAATTCTCCCCAAACTGATCCTAGGTTTTTTTTTTTTTAATTCAACCTTTGGGAGCACAGAACATTATCTTAGGTTTAATGCAATTCCTATAAAAATTCCACTAAGACTTTTTATAGACACAGACAAGCTTATTCTAAATGTATATGGAAATGCATGGGCCCCAGAACAGCTTAAACAATCTTGACAAAGAATAAAGTGAGGGCAGGGTGCCGTGGCTCATGCCTGTAATCCCAGCACTTTGGGAGGCTGAGGCAGGCGGATCATATGGTCAGGAGATTTAGACCATCCTGGCTAACATGGTGAAAACCATCTCTACTAAAAAAAAAAAAAAAATTAGCTAGGCAAGGTAGTCCCAGCTACTTGGGAGGCTAAGGCAGGAGAATGGTATCAACCCAGGAGGTGGAGCTTGCAGTGAGCTGAGATTACGCCACTGCACTCCAGCCTGGGCGAGACTCCACCCAAAAAAACAAAATCAGCCAGACATGGTGGCACATACCTGTAATCCCAGCTACTTGGGAGGCTGAGACACGAGAATCGCTTGAACCCAGAAAGGAGAGGCTGCAGTGAGCCGAGATCACACCACTGCATTCCAGCCTGGGCAACAGTGAGACTGTCTCAAAAAAAAAACAAAAAAACAAAAAAACTCCACAAAAAAATTTTTAAATTAGCTAGGCATAGTGGCGTGCACCTGTAGTCCTAGCTACTCAGGAGGCTGAGGAGAAGGGATCTTGAGCCTAGGAGTTTGAGGTTGTGGTGAGCTACGATTGCACCACTGGACTCCAGCCTGGTGACAGTGAGACTTTTTCCCAAAAAAATAAAAATAAAAAATAAAACAATTAACCTCTGGTGATCCAAGTCAGAACATCGGTTACCTCTGGAGGGTAGTGACTGGGAAAGACACAAGAGAGCCTTCTGAAAATGTTCCATACCTTGGTGGTACTTACATGGGTGTACACACTGAACTGTACGATTAAGATTGGTTCACTCTACTGTATATAAATGATACCTTAATACAAAGTTTTTAAAAATAATAAACATGGCTGGATGCGGTGGCTCACACCTGTAATCCCAGCACTTTGGGAGGCCGAGGTGGGTGGATCGCGAGGTCAGGAGATCGAAACCATCCTGGCTAACACGGTGAAACCCTGTCTCTACTAAAAACACAAAGAATCAGCCTGGCTTGGTGGCACGCACCTGTAGTCCCAGCTACTTGGGAGGCTGAGGCAGGAGAATGGCGTGAACCCAGGAGGCAGAGCTTGCAGTGAGCCGAGATCGCGCCACTGCACTCCAGCTCAGGACAGTGAGACTCCGTCTCAAAAAAAAATAATAGTACTAATAAATATTTGATGAGTGAATATTTCAATCAATCCTAAGAAACCCAAATATATCATTATGAGGAAACATAGGTTCAGAAAAGTAACTTGCCCAAACATAGCAGGTACTTGCACTTTTGTCTCCTGACATGAAAACTGGACTCCAATTTCCATGACTTGTATCTCCTCTAACTAAAACTGCTGCTTGATACAGGATATGCACCTATAAATATTTGCTGAGTGAATAAGGAGCACAAAGTTAATTGTTTCCTGTACCATGTGTGTGCATGTGTATTGTTTTTGAGACAAGGCCTCACTCTGTCATGAAGTGCAGTGGCATGATCATAGCTCACCGCAGCCTCAACTTCCCAGGATCAGGCAATTCTCCCACCAGAGCCATGTGCCAACAAGCCCAGCTAATTTTTTGTATTTTCTGTAGAGGCTGGGTTTCACCATGTTACCCAAGCTGGTCTTGACCTCCTGGGTGCAAGTAATTGCCCATCTCAGCCTCCCAAAGTGCTGGGATTACATGTACCATATATTTAAATCAATATGCTCAAATTTGAAAGCAAGGGAAGCTACACCGCAAAATATATGTAATTTCTAAAAGGCGTGTAAATAATAAAAACCCAGCATAGAACCACTGCAGGCTCAAGGTGGGCATTCAAAGAATCACAGCAGATGAAGGATCAATAAGAAGCATTAAGTAGAGGCTCCCCACAGACACAAATTCCAAAATTTCCAGTGCTTCATGAGATTTAGCCACAGTAAATTACTGTTTTCCACAGTAATTCTAAAAACGTAAATAAGAGAGGTCCCTGATGAGTTCATTTAAACAAGCAAGCCAGCATACAGTTCAACTACTATATTTTAAGTTACTACCCTTCAAGATGAAGAACTCACTAAAATAATGGTCTATCTTCACTTATTGAACTGAAGCTAAAATGAATTACCACTGACTGCCTATGAAGGAGGAATCAAGTCTGGATGCAGCTTCTTAATCATGACATTAAGGAACAAAATGTCTCCAGAAAGATGTAGAAGCAGGACAGGTGCCCTAGTAATGAGGCTTATTTCACAGGTAACATTTTGGGAAGTGTCCTTGAAAATTCTCAATTTCAGATATTATTTGTCATTTTCTTTCAGCACATCCATCGTCTTGATCTATCTGAAAAAAATTACTGACAAGGTAATTTAAAATCTTGACAGTCCAGGTACCAAACTTGTCAAAATCGCTTTGAAAGCTTGGGGGCATACGGACCTTAAGAACAATCCTTTATAAATGATTGACTCTTAGCCCTAAATAGGTACCTAGCACTTTCTTTATTTGGAGACAAGGTCCTGCTCTGTCACCCAGGCTGGAGTGCAGTAGGGCAATCAGCCTTGACCTGCCACCGCACCCAGCTAATTTTTTTTATTTTGAGGGTTTTAAGAGACAGGGTCTCACTCTTGCCCATGCTGAAGGGCAATGTCACGATCATAGCTCACTGCAGCCTCCACCTCCTGGGCTCACGGGAGCCTCCTGCCTCAGCCACCTGAGTAGCTGGGACTACAGGCAGGCGCCACCATACTCTGATAATTTTTTTTACTTTTTGTAGAGACAGAGTCTCCTATGTTACCCAGGCCGGTCTTGATGCTCCTGGACTCAAGTGATTTTTCTGCCTCGGCCTCTCAAAGTGCGGGGATTATAGGAGTGAGCCACCACGCCCGGCAGCCAAGCGCTTTAATAACTAAATACAATGAACTTATTTCTGTAATTTTTGTAAAAAGGTAAATGCATACATACACACGCATACATCCCTGATACTTTATTTTCCACTTTTCAGTTTATATTCAGCCTCAGTTTAGGACAAGTGTATAACAATACAATCCGAACACGACTTTAGTATCTAGTTTCACAACAACTCTACGTAGTAGATATTCACATCACGATTTTCCACGTGAGGAAACTTACGCAAACAGCTGATAAATTGGTAAAGGGCTAAGAATTGAAGCTCAATCTATCTGATTCCAAAAACACACTTTCATTTGACTACAAGGCACTTCCTCCCTTGACAGGAAAACAATAAAGACAGAAGCATAAACTTTTCACTTTTTCCGGGTGTCTTTTCTATATGTCAGTGCGATGTAGTGATCAAATGAAAGAACACTGGAGTCCGGCTCCCGGGATTCAAATCCAGCTCCACTACTGCCGGGACGCGCGCCCGGTTAACGGAGCGGCAGGGCACCAGCCCGCCTGCTGCGGCGCTGAGAAGTCTGCGGAGCCGCCTGAGAGCACCTGGAAACGCGCCGGCCCTGCGGGGGCGAAGGCGTCTAGGACGATAAGGATCTCCAAAGAGAGGGTTTGGGGTTTTTTCGGGGCAAATAATTAGAGAAAACGAGGATCACACAACAAAATAGTAACCCAGCGCGGGAAGGAGCACAGGCCGGGCGCCCCGAGGCGTGAGGCGGCGCGGACCACGGCCAAGGGAGCTCGGCGCTCGCCCGACGCCCCGGAGGATGCAGGCCGCCCCCCAGGTGTGAAAGGGACCCGCCCGGCAACCGAGGGTGCAAAGCCCAACCTGGCGTTCCGAGGGGCCCTGCGTGGCGTCAGGAGAAACCCAACCCGCGTCTCGAGCCCACCTCAACGTCCGGAGGGACTCACTGTGTCCCGAGCCCACCCGAGCGTCGGGAGGGACCCAGCCCGAGCATCTGGAGAAGCCCAACCCAGCCCAGGAATGGCCCGTCCCGGCGTCCGGAATCTGCCCTGGAATCGGGAGGGTCCCAACCCCGCATCCCGAGCCCACTTCGGCGTCCGGAGGGACCCACCTCCGACTTCGGCAAGGCCCGCCCCGGCGTCCGGAGCCCACCCCCGCGTCGCGAAGGACCCACCCAGGCATCAGGAAGGGCCGCCCCGCCGTCGGGAGAGGCCTACCTCGGCGTCGGGAGGCGCCCCTCCCGGAGAGGAGTGGGCCACGGACCCGCTGAGGAAGAGAAGGAGGCAGGGAGGGGCGGGCGGAGCTGTGCACAGTCGGCAGGTACTCACTCGCTGGCGCGGGCCGCTCCGCCGACCTTCCCCGGGTTGCCGGGGGTCGCGAGCCGCCACACGTTGGGAGCGCGGGGGGGGGGGGGGGGGGAGGGGCGCGCGCGTCCGATGCCAGAGACGTGCTCTCGGGGCTGGCGCAGGCGCGGCGCGCGGAGACTGAACCAACCCCCGCCGCGGGGGAGCCACCCGGGACGTACCAACTGCGCGGGAGGCGCTGGCCGCCCGGGACCCAGCTCACGCCTGGCGCGATCTCAGTTGCTTGCGGTTTGAGGGAAAGCCAGGAGTAACAACAAACTCAGAGATAGCTGTGGCGTAAAATGTATAGAACGGCCACTTTTGAGGACAATTCCGTGTGGTGAAATTTAAAATGTCCATTTTATGACCCAGCTATTTCACATCTAGAAAAGTGCGGAAACGCCGAGTGCGATGGTTCACGCCTGTAATCCCAGCGTTTTGGGAGACCGAGGCGGGCGGATCACCTGAGGTCGGGAGTTCGAGACCATCCTGGTCAACATAGGGAAACCCCTTCTGTACTAATATACAAAAATTAGCCAGGCGTGGTGGTGCACGCCTATAATAACAGCTACTTGGGATGCTGAGGCAAGAGAATCGCTTGAATCCGGGAGGCGGAAGATGCAGTGAGCGCAGATCAAGCCACTGCAACCCAGCCTGGGTGACAGAGTGAGACTCTGTCTCAAAAAGAAAAAAAAAAGACCTAAAAGTAAACATAAGAAAATGTTAACGGTGGGGTAATCGAACGTGGAACTACAGGTGCATTATTCTTAGTACTTTTCTATAACATTTACATTCTGGAATGCCTTTGCCCTATCTCCCCCATGCCACCTACCTCCAACTGATCCTCCAAAACCCTCCTGAACCATTTCTTCCACTGCTTCCTCTAACCTCAGTTCTTTTCTTCTGCATCCTTCCTCAGCTTCTGGGACATTCGATCTCCCACAATATACTACAATTCTTTGCTGTATGAGTCTATATCTCTTCAATAAGACTTGTGAGCTCTATGAAAACATGATCCATGTAATCCTCACAAGTAGCAATGGGCCTGTCCTAAAGCAAATACTTAATAAATGTTGATTAAATTGATTGAGGAGTGGGGGGATCAGAAAAGGTTTCGGTGCAGGGCCAAAAAGATCCCTTTAGGGCATCTCACTTCAGGGAAGACTATTAATGCATTGTTGTTGGCAGCCGTCCTGCAAACCTGAGGACAGACAGCGTGTCATAGGCAGCCTGTAAGATGGCCCTTAATGATCCCACGGGCTAGCAACCACACTCTTGTGTAATCTCTCTTCTTGAGTGTGGGCTATGCTTAATAACTCACTTCTAAACAATAGAATAAGGCAGAAATGATGGCACGTCTTTTCCAAGATTGGGTTATAGAAACTCTGTGGCATCCTTCTTGGGTACTATCTCAAGTTCGTCATTTGCTCACTCAGGCCAAATGCTGTGCTGTGAGAAATAGCCATATGGAAAGACTCACAGGGTAACAGCTTGATCACATCTTGGGAGAGACCTTAAGCCAAAGTTACCTGTCTAAGCCGTGTCCCAACTCATGACCTATGAAAACTATGTTTATGGTTTTTTGGTTGTTGTTTTTTGTTTTTGTTTTTTTTAAAAAAAGGTCTCACTCTATCGCCCATACTGGAGTGCAGTGGTATCATCACGGCTCACTGCAGCTTCAAACTCCTGAGCTCAAGCTGTCCTCCCACCTCAGCTTCCCAAGTAGCTGGGACTACAGGTGTATGCCACCATGGCTAGCTATTTTTTTGTTGTTTTTTGTGAAGATGGAGTCTCACTATGTGCCCAGGCTGGTCTCAAACTCCTGGGCACAAGTGATCCTTCCGCCTCAGTCTCCCAAAGTGCTGGAATTACAGGCATAAGCCACTGCACCTGGTCTATGTTTTAAGCCACTAAGTTTTGGGGTAATTTGTTATATAACAACATACAATTATTTCAGAGCTTAGAAGAGAGGAAAAAAAAAAAAGCAGAAAATAGCAGAGTTAGGACCCTAAGCATATATACCTGGCAACCATTCAACTTCTGGGTTTTCTGTGATGTGAGATAATCGGTTTCCTTAATATTTACACCATTATGAGTCATGTTTTTCTGTTACCTGAAGTAGAAAACATCCTAATTGATATAAAACTAAATGTCCATCATAAGAGAATGATGTATTACATAGTATAGTGTATTCATAGAATAACATACAACAATTAAATGAAAAAAGAAAAGAAAAGAAATGAAACTTCTTTGGGAGGCTGAGGTGGGTGGATCACTTGAGCCCAGGAGTTCAAGATCAGCCTTGGCAACACATTGAGACTTTCTCTCTATTAAAAATAAAAATAGGTCTGGCATGGTGACTCATACCACTTTGGGAGGCCGAAGTGGGTGGATCACCTGAGGTCAGGAGTTTGAGACCAGCCTGGTCAACATGGTGAAACCCCGTCTCTACTAAAAATACAAAAATCAGCCGGGCATGGTGGCACGTGCCAGTAAGTCCCAGCTACTTGAGAGGCTGAGGCAGGAGAATTGCTTGAACTCCAGCCTGGGCAACAGAGCGAGACTCTGTCTCAAAAAATAAAATTAAATTAAAAAATAAAAAATTATAACAAATTATACAGATGCCGTGTGGCCAGAAAAAAATTAAATAAATGAACAAACAATTAGCCACATATGGTGGTGTGTGTCTGTAATCCCAGCTACACGAGAGACCAACGCAGGAAGATCCGTTGAGCCCGGGAGTTCCAGGTTGCAGTGAGCTATGATCGCACCATTGCACTTTAAACTGGGTGACAGAGCGAGACCTTGTCTCAGAAAAAAGAAATGAAACAGATCTACATGTATCATCATGCATAGACCTCAATACATGATATGAATTTTAAGAAACAAGTGGCAGGATAATGTAAGGTCCATGAGAATAGAAACTTTATTTGGTGTATTGCTGTATCGTCAAAGTTAGAACAATGCCTAGCACAGAGTAAAGTAGAATGAATGATATGCTCATTATGATTCCATTTGCGTAAACACACATATTCTTATGCAAATAATACCATATTTTTTGAAGGTAGTAAATATATCTAAAAGTATTTCCATAGGCCTAGGAAGATACAGGGATATGTAACAAACACATAATAGAGGATACTTTTTTTTTTTTTTTGAGATGAAATCTCACTCTGTCACCCAGGCTGGAGTGCAGTGGCGTGATCTGCCTCCCGGGTTCAAGCGATTCTCCTGCCTTGGCCTCCTGAGTAGCCGGGATTACAGGCACACACCACTGCACCTGGCTAATTTTTTGTATTTTTAGTTTCACCATGTTGGCCAAGCTGGTCTTGAACTCCTGACCTCAGGTAATCTGCCTGCCTCGGCCTCCCAAAGTGAGCAACCGGGCCCGGCCAGAGGATACTTTTGAAAAGGGAGCTAGAGGTACAAAATTGGGAGTGGACAAAAGGAACCTTAATATATCTGAAATGTTCTAATTTTATTTTAAGAACCACTACTGGACCAAGTGTGGTGGCTTATGCCTGTAATCCCTGCACTTTGAGAGGCAAACATGGGGAGATCACTTGAGCTCAGGAGTTCGAGACCATTCTGGGCAAAATGGCAAAACCCTATCTCTACAAAAAATGCAAAAATTAGCTGGACTTGGTGGCTTGCACCTGTAGTCCCAGCTACTTGGGAGGCTGAGGTGGGAGGATAACTTGAGCCCAGGAGGCAGAGGTTGCAGTGAGCCACCAAGGTTGCTCTACTGCACTCTAGCCTGGGTGACAAAGCAAGACCCTGTCACAAAAAAAAAAAAAAAAAAAAGAACCACTACTGTGTAATTCTACTGTGTAATTTAAAATGAATACACTATAAGCTGGGCACAGTAATACATACCAGTAGTCCCAGCTACTCAGGAACGGAGGTAAGAGGATTACTTGAGCCCAGGAGTTCAAGGATATAGTACACTATAATCATGCCTGTGAATAGCCACTATACTCCAGCCTGGGCAACGTAGTGAGACTCCATCTCTACAAAAAAATTTAAAACTTAGCTGGGTATGGTGGTGTGCACCTGTAATCCCAGCTACTAAGAAGGCTAACATGGGAGGATCCCTTGAGCCTAGGAGTTCCAGGCTGCAGTGAGCTATGACTGAGCCACTGTACTCCAGCCTAGGCAATAGAGTGAGACCCTGTCTTTAAAAAAGTAATAATAATTAAAAAAAAAAAAAAACCCTTAGAAGAAAACATATGAGAAAATCTGCGTGACCTTAGATTTGGCAATAATATCTTGACTATGACATCAAAAGCACAGGCAACACGATGAAGAGTTCTGGAGACGGATGGTGGTGATAGCTATACAACATTATGAATGTATTTAATACTGTTGAACTGGCCACTTAAAATGGTTACAGCGGTAAGTTTTATGTTATGTGTATTTTACCATAACGAAAAAACAACTGGGAAAAAAGCATAGGCAACTATCCTCTTGTCTCAACCTCCCAAAGTGCTGGGATTACAGGCGAGAGCCACCGTGCCTGGCCACAAAAGTCTTAAATGGACATCTCTCCAAATAATGTATTCAAGTGTCCAATAACTACATGAAAAGATACATAATATCATTAGTCATATCAAAACTACCATGAGCTCTTTCTCCCTTTGTCCGCCATCGTAGTCTATGGAGGTTGACTCCAAACCTTGCCATGTCTTTTCACAAGATTTTCAGGATCAAGCAATTCCTGACCAATAAACAAAAGCAAATTTTGCCCACTCCCCAGTGGATTCACATGAAAACTGGTAATAAAATCATTTACAGCTGGGTGCTGTGGCTCACGCCTCTACTCCCCGCACTTTGGGAGGCTGAGGCGGGTAGATCACTTGAGGTCAGGAGTTTGAGACCAGCCTGGCCAACATGGTGAAACCCCCATCTCTACTAAAAATACAAAAATTAGCCGGGCATGGTGTCAGGAATCTGTAGTCTCAGCTACTCAGGAGGCTGAGACAGGAGAATTGCTTGAACCCGAGAGGCGGGTGAGCCGAGATCCCGCCACTGCAGTCTAGCCTGGGTGATAGAG